GGATTTGGCAGAGAGGCATGCATATTCCCGCTTTGTATAAAGGCAAAGGGGATAGATATATAGTGCAAAAATTATAGGGGGATAAGTCTGTTGAGTATACCTGTGTAAAGTGTGATGGTAAGTTATAATTGAAAGAAATAAGAGTAAGCCGGAAAATAGGATAGCAGATGAACAAGTGGCTTTAGGAAAGGTATGGGGTGTGTGGACGTCATTTTGTTTCCAGTGAAACATATAAGTGAACGAGAATTTAGATAGGCTAAAGAGGTGCTTGTTTGCATTATGGATTTGGAAAAGGCTGTATGACAGGGTGGATAGGGGGGCAATGTGGCAGATGTTTGCAGAGTGTATGGTGCAGGTAGGAAGGTTACTGAAAGCAGTGAAGAGTTTTTACAACGAGGATATTGAGGCTCACGTTAGAGTATGTAGAAAGAGGGAAAATTTTTTCCGCAGTAAAAATAGACCTTATACAAGGGATGTGTGATGTCCACCGTGGTGTTTATTAGTATTTATAAGATGGGGTTGTAAGAGAAGTAAAAATGCGAGGGTCATGTGCAAGAGGCGTGGAGTAAAAGATAAAGAATCACACACAAAGAGGAGTTGTCACAGCTGCTCATTGCTGAAGACACAGTGTCTCTTGGTAGATTCTGAAGATAAGTTGCAGAGATTGTTGGATTAATTTGGTAGGGTGTTCAAAAGGAAGAAAAATTAAAGGTGAATAACAGGAAAGAGTAAGGTTATGATGATAACAAAATAATTATGGTGATGAAAGATTGAATATCAGATGAGATGGAGAGTAATGGAGGAGGTGAACGTATTCAAAGATATTTGGGAGTGGACGTGTCAGCAGATGGGTCTATGAAATATGAGGTGAATCATAGAAATGATGATGGAAAAAGAGTGAGTGGTGGCACTTAGGAGTCTGTGGATACAAAGAACTTTGTTCCATTGAGGCAAAGAGGGGAATGTATGAGAGTATAGATTTCCCAACGCTTCTTATATGGGTGAGAAGCATGGGTGTGAATGTATGGTCAGGCGAGAGAAGGCTGGAGCAGTGGAGATGTCATCTCTGTGGGAATGTGTGGTGTGAAATAAAATGCAGAAATTCGTAGATTTGAAGTTAGGAGGATGTGCTGATTACCAAAACTGTTGTCCAGAGGGCTGAGGAAGGGTTGTTTGTATGTGGTTTTCGGACATGTATAGATAATGATCTAAACAGAATGGCTTCAAGAGTGTATCAGTCTGTAGTGGAAGGAAGCGGGTAGGGGTCGGCCTAGAAAGGTTGGAGAGAGGGGGTAAAGGAGGTTTTGTGTGCGAGGGGCATGGACTTCCAGCAGAATGCGTGAGCGTGTTGATATGAGTGTAATAACAATATGGTATTTAATACTTGACGTGCTGTTGGAGTGTGAGTCAAAGTAAACAATTATGAAGGGGATTCAGGGAAACCGGCAAGGCGGAACTTGAGTCCTGGAGAATGGGAATACAGTGCCTGCACTCTGAAGGGGGTGGTATGTTGTCAGTTTAAAAACTGTAGTGTAAAAGCACCCTTCTGGCAAGACAGTGATGGAGTGAATGATGGTGAAAGTTTTTCTTTTCGGGCCACCCTGCCTTGGTGGGAATCGGCCAGTGTGATAATAAAAAAATTAATAAATAAGATTTCAAGCCATGGGACTCCCTCTATTCATGATCATAAAATTGTTAATGGGCAGTTCCATTTAGCCATTAAGGAAAAATTATATTTTTTTTATCTAAATCATTCTCTAAATAATAAATGTCAAGCTAAAATTTTAAATATTTATTGTAAATTTTAAAATGAGTGTCTATTATGTGTTATTTAATGGTAGAATATATTATGCGAGTCTCATCTGGATCAGTTGATCGGATTAACAGTAGAACACGGGGGACCAGGAGCTGTGAATCGACCCCTGCAATCACAACTAGGTGAGTACAGCCTGGAATCGATATGTTCAGTCCATCACTGAACACATCGATTCCAGGCTGAGGGACTGATCACCTCAAACTCCTCCCCTTCCAACCCATTTCCACTCTGTATTAGACTGATGAAGTCACTGTGTGGCGAAACGTCGTTTCCTTAATAAACATTCCCATATGTTGCATAGGTGTCTCAATCTTGTTTAACTGTATTTATGTGTAGCTGTACCTAAATAAACTTACTCAAAACCTTAAGATACTGATTTTTTTTAATGCCAACTCGGCAAAAAATCGCCCACCTAGTTATTGTTATTATTATTAACACACTGGCCGATTCCCACCAGGGCAGGGTGGCCCGAGAAAAAGAAAAACTTTCACCATCATTCACTCCATCACTGTCTTGCCAGAAGGGTGCTTTACACTACAGTTTTTAAACTGCAACATTAACACCCCTCCTTCAGAGTGCAGGCACTGTACTTCCCATCTCCAGGACTCAAGTCCGGCTTGCCGGTTTCCCTGAATCCCTTCATAAATGTTACTTTGCTCACACTCCAACAGCACGTCAAGTATTAAAAACCATTGGTCTCCATTCACTCCTATCAAACACGCTCACGCATGCCTGCTGGAAGTCCAAGCCCCTCGCACACAAAACCTCCTTTACCCCCTCCCTCCAACCTTTCCTAGGCCGACCCCTACCCCGCCTTCCTTCCACTACAGACTGATACACTCTTGAAGTCATTCTGTTTTCGCTCCATTCTCTCTACATGTCCGAACCACCTCAACAACCCTTCCTCAGCCCTCTGGACAACAGTTTTGGTAATCCCGCACCTCCTCCTAACTTCCAAACTACGAATTCTCTGTGATATTCTTACTAAACCATACCCCCGGCCGGGATTGAACCCGCGGTCATAGAGTCTCAAAACTCCAGCCCGTCGCGTTAGCCACTAGACCAGCTAGCCACAATAAGATTCATCCAACTAGGTATATTTCTACACCATATTTCTACACCTAGTTGGATGAATCTTATTGTGGCTAGCTGGTCTAGTGGCTAACGCGACGGGCTGGAGTTTTGAGACTCTATGACCGCGGGTTCAATCCCGGCCGGGGGTATGGTTTATTTGCAATCGTGTCATTACGATTTCTTGAGTCATATTCTTACTGTTTATACACTCTCATGAATACATATGGATGTGTATACATATGTGGGCATACATAAGCATGACTCAGATGAGTCAAAGGGATGTTAGGAAGTATTTCTTCAGCCACAGAAATGTTAGGAAGTGGGATAGTCTGGCAAGTGATGTAGTGGAGGCAGGAACCATACATAGTTTTAAGATGAGGTATGATAAAGCTCATGGAGCAGGGAGAGGGAGGACCCAGTAGCGGTCACTGAAGTGGCGGGGCCAGGAGCTGAGTCTCGGCCCCTGCGACCACAATTAGGTGAGTACAGTTAGGTAAGTACACACATATATAGCATACATAAGACTCGACCCCTGGCACCCGCATATAGGTGAGTACACAAGCACACGCATGAGCTGTGAATCGACCCCTGCAACCACTAATAGGTGAGTACATGCACAAACAGATGTTAGATGTGCAGTACTTGGGTATCCTTATTGCCGAAACATTTCGCCTGTGCAGGAGGCGTCTCAGACGCCCGGTGGCCTGGTGGCTAAAGCTCCCGCTTCACACACGGAGGGCCCGGGTTCGATTCCGGCGGGTGGAAACATTCGACACGTTTCCTTACACCTGTTGTCCTGTTCACCTAGCAGCAAATAGGTACCTGGGTGTTAGTCGACTGGTGTGGGTCGCATCCTGGGGGACAAGATTAAGGACCTCAATGGAAATAAGTTAGTCAGTCCTCGATGACGCACTGACTTTCTTTGGTTATCCTGGGTGGCTAACCCTCCGGGGTTAAAAATCCGAACGAAATCTTATCTTATCAGACCGGGCCGCGGGGCGTTGACCCCCGAAACCCTCTCCAGGTATAGGTATAGTCGAATACAGAAATGATTTTAATACTGGAGATAGGGGAGAAAATGGAGAGGTAAGTTTGGGGTTTTCAGTCCCTCAGTTTTGACAGACAATGGTCCGTCCCCCAGTCTTGACAGTGTTCAATCTCTTAGCCTTGATTAAAGGTGGTCAGTCCCTTAGTCTAAAACAGAGGCGTAAGAATGGAGACTTATATACTGGAGCAGGCGAGGCGCAGCAATTTGAAATTATATCATAAATGGGCGGGGCCCGTTGGTGGATGTAAGTCATGGCAAAGAGTCGTTTAGCAGCTGCTTCTGCTTTAGGCTAAGGAACTGACCGCCTTCATAAAGGCGAAGGGACTGACCACCTTCCATCTAGACTGCCTCTTCCAGGCATTCGATTATTGAAGTCTGAAGAGAAGGGGAATCCCTAAGTGTTGCACATATATCTTATTTATCAACCTTGTATATGTATATTTATCTATACATTAATTTGTATGTATAAACAAACATACATGTGTTTCACACCATTTACAAAGGCAGGATTATCCTAGGTAATTTACGCACAATTATTTATAAACACTATGAGTATACTTGAATTAATATTAATTGTATTAAAGTATTCTTGACTGGTGGTGTACTGGTTTCATTCATATTTAACGACCCTCCTGTAATCGATAGGGCTTAAATCCAATTAATTAGCTATTCTGAAGCTCTTAAACTATGGCGTTGTTTTGACCCCAATGCAAATAAGTTAGTGTTGGATTATTTTTTTTAGATTATCTATGTAAAATTTACGTTATATGCTCTAAACCTGCCCATGACATGTGCGCATCGGCAAGAGCATTGTAGAAAAAATATATATGAATCCAAAGCCTAAAAAATCTATATCATGTGATTTTAATCTACTCTTATGTGTGTCCTCCAATTCACTGTAAAAAAAAATTAGGTTGTGTATCAGACTTGAATTAAATCAACATTATATACTTTTAATGTCAGTAACGTATGTACTCTCACTGCCATTGTAAAACAAATTATGTTGATAACTTAAATAGGACTCCTGTGAATCATTCAGCACAGGGAGTGGTGGAGGCTCGCTCCTCCGTCTACTGATCTCGCTGCAGTCACTGACCAACCAGGCTGTGTGCGATGGCCCTGAGATCCCCCAGGGGACACACACGGGTCATGTATGTGCACCTACAGGTGTATGTAGATGTATATATATGTATGTTTCCCAGTTTCTGTGTGGTTTAGGTTCGTTGACTCCTCGCCAGGGGTCGGACGGTCGTCAATGTTTGTAAACACCAGTATGGTGGACGAGGAGGGAGGCGTGCCGGCCGAGCCTGCCAGGAGAAAGGCTGCTGCCACTGCCACCCTCAATATTAGCAAGAAAAGTGGCACTCGCATGAAGAGAGTAAGTGTCCCTCTAAGTGCCGGCGTCGAAATGAAAGCCGGGGAGGGGCTGTAGAGGAGTAAGATAAGAGATATCAGTGGGCCGTCTTGAGAGGATATTGCCGAGGTGGCAGCCTAACTGGAGAGGCTTTGTCATTAAAGGGCTGGTATGGCCGGCTGTAATGTGGCTACCCAAGCATAATATTCGCTTCAGATGTGAGGATCTTGTTAATGTGGGCTGCTGGGCACTGTTAGCATGTGATCAAGAGTGGTAATTTAGCAAGTCATGGGAAGAGTAGGGAGTGAAAGGTGGCATTGTGTTCCATTTGGGGTTCCGTTCTTCCAACTTCGGTTCTTGATCTTTATTTCGTTGTTGTAATCTTTTTCAGGAATATTATTGAAATGATCTGTATAAGCGGTTTTTTTTTATAATATAGGAATGTCAATATAGTGTGTACAAATTTTAACTCGTATATTGGTAACCAAATATTCCCTAAACTATATTATAAGGATGAAATAAACTATTTCAAGTCTCTCTAAATTCCTAACTTGCTATAAAATAAATGGTCACGGTAAAGAAAAATAACATTTAATGTTAAAATTTTCAAAGCAAGTGCAGTTCCTGGCATTAAACTAAAGCAAGTTATATATTTTTATGAAGTTGTGACCTAATTAAATTCTAGGCTTCTAATATGATTCTTAATCTAACCCAAATCTGATTTAATATTGATGCAGATTAACTTAAGTTTGAGTTCTGGATGAATAATACTGTAGATAACTTGGTTTATCTGGAAGTGTGTGTTACTGCTCGTAGCTGCCATCATTACTTACACACACTGTTCATTCCAGGATCCACAATTGTTTTCATGTAATTTATCCCTTCAAGAGCAGTGCCATGATGCTGGTGAAGGAGCTCTTCTTCCAAGGCATTGGACTTTTCTTCCTTTTCCTCAGATTGAACCTGAGTGCCTCCCATTTTCTAGGCACTATGTGACTCCTGTGGGTTTAGTGCTTCCCTTCCTGATTAAAATACAATAATGTAATTTACAATCAGTCATCACATATTTCATCTTGTGAAAATTGCTCTGTTCTTATTAACTCCTAATTGAATATTAAAGATTTTCAGTTTAGAATATTAAATATTATGAGATGTGAAATCTAATATTTTTTAAAGTATTCGAAGAGGCTTCTTGATACATTATTTAACATTAATGACAAAAGTTTCCTTACATAATCATGATTATTTTACTTGTATAGTTATTAGTCAAATGATTGTTACATAAGTTTAATATTAGCTGATTAAATGAATGTGCATCAGTGTTACTCAACATTCTATGCAACATGTACTAAATATTTTTAAAATTCAAGTATTTTTATTTGTAAATATAAATTAGAGGAATTATAAATGCAAATCACAGTGTATAACATTGGATTTTTTTATAACATGATTTTGTTTATATTAATCCAGTGGAATTTTAATTATAAGCAGTTATTAAACATTGGCATAGTTATGATAATTTATAATATTGTTGTAAAGTCTCATTTAATATTAAAGATAAAATACAATAAGTTTACTGTATTTCTTTTGTCTTGCTCTGTCTGTAGTTCACTCCACATAAAAGCAACCCACATTAAATTGCATTAAGCCACTAGATTACTCCATCTGGAACCAAATAATGTGTATTTTCTTCACTGCTTTCCACCTTTTGTTGGTAGTTTCAGTAAAAGAATTTTTCCATGTGCAGTACATAAACAGTTTTCGGTAATGAATATTATTTGCTATTGATGATGCAGTTTTATTCATTTTTGTTTCATAATTTCATTTTTGTTAATGAAATAAATTCACAATACTCATTTTTCTTCCCCAAAAAAGCAAAAACTCAGCACTTAGTCTACATGTCAAAGGTGTAGCTCATCAGTGGTTTATCAGGTATTGAATAAAGCTATGATAATACCCCTTAGAACAGTTAAAATATATTTTATCATATTAGGAAGGAAAATTAGACTATCTGTTGCTCTTTTATGTAAAGTTTTACATTAATACTGGGGAAAATTGTCACAACCATCAGTAATGGTGGTCTTTCAGGAAGTTAGTATTTTGACCAGAAATGGAATGCATTGAAATCTGAATCATGCAAAATATGTGAATATAATTTTCTTGCTGCATTTTAGATTATTTTCTTAATTTTAATAGATATTGTGCCCTGATGTGAGTACTGTATATACCTAATTACAGTTTTTAGTAACACGTGTACAGTACCAAATAGTAATCTATTGCACTATATATTAAAAACTGTTTTCATTACTGCTTTTTGCAGGTATCATCTATATTGAGAAAAAAATGTGATAAGCTTACATTGGATGACAGACGATTATTAGAAGAAAATTCAGAGCTGGTGGAGGAGTTTTATAAAAGGTTTGTTAGAACACTCATTTCGATAGTATTTTTAATTTTCTTTAAATAAGTGCTTGTTTAAGGATAGAATGGAAAGACTGAATGGATATACATATAGCACATAATCTGCCATCATGGCTTTAAATTTAAGAAATATATTTGTCTCAAAGATGTGTCAAACATTGCTCAGTTTATGAATTTCCACTTACAGTACAGTACAATACTTTATGTCCTCATAACAGACGTGAGCGTCGGGCAGTGTGGCAGTCACGAAAGACAGAGCAAGAAGACACGAAAGAAGTTTTGCAAATCAAGTGTGAGCAGTTAGCTCAGGTAGGAGGGCAGGATTGGTTATTTTACATTATGATATTATTGTTGTTATAATATATTTAGTCTTCATTTTTAATTAATGGAGTGGAGAGAGATTTATAAAAATATATTTAAAGTATTTATATTATCTTTATTTCATTCATAAGATGTTCATTTTCAAGCAGCATTAATCCAGCATTAACCAATGTTAATATGTTTGCTATATTTTTATTGGGGTAGGGACTAGAGCAGAAAGTGACAGTAAAAGGGTAGGTGGGGTAAAAAATAGAAGCATGAATTGGAACAGTTTGGGAAGAAAATTAAGACCACTATCTGCTTAGTGGTTTTGAGGTTGAAGATGGGAGTGGTGAATATTGTGTGCTTTGAAGAGTGTGGAAGGAAGTAATGAGGGTGGAGGTATGGGATGTGTTTAGTGAATTGGGCTCTATGATATGGGAAAGCAAAGCTGAAGATATGCTTGTGGATGGGAAGTTAGAGTTGATAACTCTCCCATAGGCATATGTACCTTAGTGATATAATAAAAAGACACTTAGAGATCAAGCTTTTTCAAGTTTATGACTTTATAGGCCTGAAAAAACTGGTCTCTAATTGGTCCCAGTTAAGGTCTCCAGTCTGCTATAGTCTCTCTTTTTACCAGCTTGTTAGTTTTAAAACTTCTTATCCATGTTCCTTTGTGTTCTGCTCTGCAAATGGTCTCTTTCCCTTCTTTGTGGTCTCTGCATAATGAGCTCTCCTTATCCACCCTTACTCTTTTTCCTTACTGTCTTTTGCTTGCTTTCTTCCCTCAAGGGAGGTTCCTTGATGTCAGTGAGGGGTTCTTTATCCAAGAAATTAGACCTGTTTTCCCATTCCTTACATCAAACCTGATTATCTCCCTTAGCCCAGGTGCTATAAGACCCCTATGGGTTTATTGCTTCTCCTTAATAATAATAATAATAATAATAATTTATCTGCTTCTTGAAATAATTCATTTCAGGCAATTCACGATGCAGAATTCCTTGTGGTGTATACAGGAGCAGGCATATCTACAGCTGCTTCCATCCCTGATTACCGAGGTCCCAATGGTATATGGACACTGCTTCAGAAAGGTCTTGATGTTGGGTATGTCACATAAATCTTAGCACTGCAGAAAGGATATTTCAGTGTTTTGTTTCAGTTATACAGCATTACAAAATTAAGTGAAGGATCTTAAGGGTTTGTTAAAGGTTCTTTTTATTATACTTTACAAAATATACATTACTACTTTTGTTTATCTGATTAATTCTTCTTGTAAAGGTATTTTTTCTAGGATGTGGGAAAAAAATCACTATCTTATTTTTTCCTGTTTTCATTTTAAAATTGCTGCTAAAGGATGTAATTATAGCTCAGGGTTTGAAGCCAAAACAAGCCAGTTTCTCAGAGGGAGCAGGCCAGTGCTCTCATCATGTCTATGCAAGCAATTGACTGCCGACAACATAGGGGAAGTGGACACTTAAAATGTCTTTATTGAATAAAGGTGTCATAAGTGAATACACTAGTGTTTATTTCTTATAATAAGAATTATCCAACATAGGATGATATTTATTAACCCTGGATGACCAGTTTTGGGTTTGATTTACCGTTGGTTCAAACCTTGCCCGTTCCCTGATGTGTTTACAAACACTTTATTATTAGTTTCTTGAGTGATGTAAATGTAGTACCATGTCCATAAAAGAAATCATTGACATTTCTACCTTTTGACATCATTTTACATAAAAAATAATGAAAGGAAAGATGAAACAAAGAACTGTGGAGTAGCCTTTCTTTACTTTTCCAGTAGCTTGCTACCTCTTGGGAGCCCTATGAGGAGGGAGATTGGCTACCACATTCTTCACCCTCCACATAACTTCTTCTGATTGTCCAATTCATTTACCTGTCTCACAATTATTATATCCTCTTACCCTGGCTAAAACGAAAGTCTTCTCTTCCATACTTAGCTTACATGGCCCTGTTATGATCACTGTTAACCATATTATAAACTGTCAAACAATCCAACAGGAAAGTCCAAAATTGGGGCCATGCCAGTGAGGTAACTGAGGGTGAGTGGTGGGTGGAGGTTGCTGCTTTGTTACATACGCGCTGCCCGACTTACGTTAGCCTCAGTAGCATTGCTGATAGACTGTCTAGTACAACAGTGTGTGACAAAAAATTAAAATTCATCTATTTATTTTGTGTTCATGGCTCAGTTCATGCTGTTCAATAGTGTGATATCTGTTCACAGTTTGATTGTTTTCCAGATCTTTTCAGAATATTCAATCTCATAGCAGTAGAATTGTTGTGCAGTGTAGTATATGCACCTCTGCCATGACATGTGTAACACTTGTTATGATTCACTTTGTATTTCCAGGCACCATGACCTGTCTGCTGCAGAGCCCACACTCACACACATGGCTTTGTCTGCGTTGTACCAGCAAGGTATTGTGCGACATGTAGTCTCCCAAAACTGTGATGGGTTGCACCTGCGCTCTGGTCTGCCGAAGACAGCCATGTCAGAAGTACATGGCAACATGTACATAGAGGTTTGTAGTGTTATGGTACCAAGATTCACATAAAGATACAATGCTCTGTCTGTATCCAGTTGTGTGTTCATTGGTATCTTGAAATATTTTTACAAATGTAATGTTTTTACTGTACAGGAGATAAATGTATGGTAAAACAGTATATGGAGGAGGTTTCTTTAGAGAAATAGAACTGTTAGGACATAAATGTTTGATGAGGATAGAGAAGAGCTCTTGATCCAAGAAACAGGAGCCATCCTACCCTACCTTGGATGGAATTTGATTACCTCCCATTTCCCAGGCCCTATTATCCTTATGGGTTCAGCTCTTCCCTAATAATATAACTCCAAATAATCCCCACTCTACTGAATAGTGAGAAATGGTATACGTATTGGATGCCATTATGTCTAGAGCAAATCAAGGGAACGATATGACCATCTAGAGTAGAAATGCTCTAATGTGGAAGGGTGTGTCGAAATAAGTAATATTTTTTATTATTTTATTATTATCAAACTGGCCGATTCCCACCAAGGCAGGGTGGCCCGAAAAAGAAAAACTTTCACCATCATTCACTCCATCACTGTCTTGCCAGAAGGGTGCTTTACACTACAGTTTTTAAACTGCAACATTAACACCCCTCCTTCAGAGTGCAGGCACTGTACTTCCCATCTCCAGGACTCAAGTCCGGCCTGCCGGTTTCCCTGAACCCCTTCATAAATGTTACTTTGCTCACACTCCAACAGCACGTCAAGTATTAAAAACCATTTGTCTCCATTCACTCCTATCAAACACGCTCATGAATGCCTGCTGGAAGTCCAAGCCCCTCGCACACAAAACCTCCTTTACCCCCTCTCTCTCCAACCTTTCCTAGGCCGACCCCTACCCCGCCTTCCTTCCACTACAGACTGATACACTCTTGAAGTCATTCTGTTTCGCTCCATTCTCTCTACATGTCCGAACCACCTCAACAACCCTTCCTCAGCCCTCTGGACAACAGTTTTGGTAATCCCGCACCTCCTCCTAACTTCCAAATACGAATTCTCTGCATTATATTCACACCACACATTGCTCTCAGACATGACATCTCCACTGACTCCAGCCTTCTCCTCGCTGCAACATTCATCACCCATGCTTCACACCCATATAAGAGCGTTGGTAAAACTATACTCTCATACATTCCCCTCTTTGCCTCCAAGACAAAGTTCTTTGTCTCCACAGACTCCTAAGTGCACCACTCACTCATTTCCCCTTATCAATTCTATGATTCACCTCATCTTTCATAGACCCATCTGCTGACACGTCCACTCCCAAATATCTGAATACATTCACCTCCTCCATACTCTCTCCCTCCAATCTGATATTCAATCTTTCATCACCTAATCTTTTTGTTATCCTCATAACCTTACTCTTTCCTGTATTCACCTTTAATTTTCTTCTTTTGCACACCCTACCAAAATTCATCCACCAATCTCTGCAACTTCTTTTCAGAATCTCCCAAGAGCACAGTGTCATCAGCAAAGAGCAGCTGTGACAACTCCCACTTTGTGTGTGATTCTTTATCTTTTAACTCCACGCCTCTTGCCAAGACCCTCGCATTTACTTCTCTTACAACCCCATCTATAAATATGTTAAACAACCACGGTGACATCACACATCCTTGTCTAAGGCCTACTTTTACGGGGAAAATAATTTCCCTCTTTCCTACATACTCTAACTTGAGCCTCACTATCCTCGTAAAAACTCTTCACTGCTTTCAGTAACCTACCTCCTACACCATACACTTGCAACATCTGCCACATTGCCCCCCTATCCACCCTGTCATACGCCTTTTCCAAATCCATAAATGCCACAAAGACCTCTTTAGCCTTATTAAATACTTTTTCACTTATATGTTTCACTGTAAACACCTGGTCCACACACCCCCTACCTTTCCTAAAGCCTCCTTGTTCATCTGCTATCCTATTTTCTGTCTTACTCTTAATTCTTTCAATAATAACTCTACCATACACTTTACCAGGTATACTCAGCAGACTTATCCCCTATAATTTTTGCACTCACTTTTATCCCCTTTGCCTTTTACAAAGGACTATGCATGCTCTCTGCCAATCCCTAGGTACCTTACCCTCTTCCATACATTTATTAAATAATTGCACCAACCACTCCAAAACTATATCCCCACCTGCTTTTAACATTTCTATCTTTACCCCATCAATCCCGGCTGCCTTACCCCCTTTCATTTTACCTACTGCCTCACGAACTTCCCCCACACTCACAACTGGCTCTTCCTCACTCCTACAAGATGTTATTCCTCCTTGTCCTATACACGAAATCACAGCTTCCCTATCTTCATCAACATTTAACAATTCCTCAAAATATTCCCTCCATCTTCCCAATACCTCTAACTCTCCATTTAATAACTCTCCTCTCCTATTTTTAACTGACAAATCCATTTGTTCTCTAGGCTTTCTTAACTTGTTAATCTCACTCCAAAACTTTTTCTTATTTTCAACAAAATTTGTTGATAACATCTCACCCACTCTCTCATTTGCTCTCTTTTTACATTGCTTCACCACTCTCTTAACCTCTCTCTTTTTCTCCATATACTCTTCCCTCCTTGCATCACTTCTACTTTGTAAAAACTTCTCATATGCTAACTTTTTCTCCCTTACTACTCTCTTTACATCATCATTCCACCAATCGCTCCTCTTCCCTCCCACTCCCACTTTCCTGTAACCACAAACTTCTGCTGAACACTCTAACACTACATTTTTAAACCTACCCCATACCTCTTCGACCCCATTGCCTATGCTCTCATTAGCCCATCTATCCTCCAATAGCTGTTTATATCTTACCCTAACTGCCTCCTCTTTTAGTTTATAAACCTTCACCTCTCTCTTCCCTGATGCTTCTATTCTCCTTGTATCCCATCTACCTTTTACTCTCAGTGTAGCTACAACTAGAAAGTGATCTGATATATCTGTGGCCCCTCTATAAACATGTACATCCTGAAGTCTACTCAACAGTCTTTTATCTACCAATACATAATCCAACAAACTACTGTCATTTCGCCCTACATCATATCTTGTATACTTATTTATCCTCTTTTTCTTAAAATATGTATTACCTATAACTAAACCCCTTTCTATACAAAGTTCAATCAAAGGGCTCCCATTATCATTTACACCTGGCACCCCAAACTTACCTACCACACCTCTCTAAAAGTTTCTCCTACTTTAGCATTCAGATCCCCTACCACAATTACTCTCTCACTTGGTTCAAAGGCTCCTATACATTCACTTAACATCTCCCAAAATCTCTCTCTCTCCTCTACATTCCTCTCTTCTCCAGGTGCATACACGCTTATTATGACCACTTTTCGCATCCAACCTTTACTTTAATCCACATAATTCTTGAATTTACACATTAATATTCTCTTTTCTCCTTCCATAACTGATCATTTAACATTACTGCTACCCCTTCCTTTGCTCTAACTCTCTCAGATACTCCAGATTTAATCCCATTTATTTCCCCCCACTGAAACTCCCCTACCCCCTTCAGCTTTGTTTCGCTTAGGGCCAGGACATCCAACTTCTTTTCATTCATAACATCAGCAATCATCTGTTTCTTGTCATCTGCACTACATCCACGCACATTAAGCATCCCAGTTTTATAAAGTTTTTCTTCTTCTCTTTTTAGTAAATGTCTACAGGAGAAGGGTTACTAGCCCATTGCTCCCGGCATTTTAGTCGCCTCATACGACACGCACGGCTTACGGAGGAAAGATTCTTTTCCACTTCCCCATGGACAATAGAAGAAATAAAGAACAAGAGCTATTTAGAAAAAGGAGAAAAACCTAGATGTATGTATATATATATATGCATGTGCATGTCTGTGAAGTGTGACCAAAGTGTAAGTAGGAGTAGCAAGATATCCCTGTTATCTAGTGTGTTTATGAGACAGAAAAAGAAACCAGCAATCCTACCATCATGCAAAACAGTTACAGGTTTCTGTTTCACAGTCATCTGGCAGGACGGTAGTACTTCCCTGGGTGGTTGCTGTCTACCAACCTACTACCTACAATAGTAATAAAATAAAGGATATACAGTGTACCCCCGCATAACGATTACCTCCGAATGTGACCAATTATGTAAGTGTATTTATGTAAGTGCGTTTGTACGTGTATGTTTGGGGGTCTGAAATGGACTAATCTACTTCACAATATTTCTTATGGGAACAAATTCGGCCAGTACTGGCACCTGAACATACTTCTGGAGTGAAAAAATATCGTTAACCGGGGGTCCACTGTATGTGTGGGATTTTCATTTATTGGTTATGTCTACTGTAATATAAAATCATAATTCTAATACAGTCTTATGAAAATTTTAGATCAAGAGATAGAGACACAGTATATATTTGATTTTGAATATCCTTTAACCCTTTGAGGGGCCCAGACCCCCAGTCTGGAAATTTCCTACGGGGTCCAAAAATTAAAAAAAAAAATATTATTTTTCTTATGAAATGGTAGAGATTCTTTTTCTGAAGGTAATGAAACAAAAAGTATGAAATTTGATAAAAAATTTATGAAATTACACTTTCCTGAATTTTGGCGTGTCAACGATATTTACTCATCAGTGATTTTGCCCACTTTGTCCTATTTTAAGCCAATTAAATTGTTCTATTAGGCCAAATTCTTAGCTATTTTGCTAGTATGTATTCCAATTTATCTGTCGAGTACAAGAAATTGCCCAATCAACTATTTCAACTACCCAATAAAGTGATTGGAAGTTGTAATTTGGCCAGTTTCACACAAAGTTCAAAATATTGCAATTTCAAAATAGGGTCCAGAATAAACAGTTCAGGCATTCCTGGCACTAAAATAATATTCCTGTTTATTAGTTATGCTTCAAGGCTTTACAGATGAATTCCACTTTTATTTTTTATTCAGATAAAGAATTTTCATTCACACCAAAAAATAGAAGATTTACTGTTAAGCAAAATTGTAGTAATTGTATAAATAATATCAGCACATTTCTGAATGCAAATTAGACCCACTAGCTGATGTGTGTTGGATGTGTGATGTGATTTGTTTACTCTTGAACATTGGCAAAAATCGAACATTTCTGCTACTTTGAGCTCAATTTCAAGCTATTTTCAGTACTAAAACCAATCAAAGTCATCTCTTTCTGTAATATATCTCCCACTCTATCAAATGAGACCAAGAAAATACGAATATAACCATTAAAACCATATGAAAATACACTGCAAAGTCGCTGTTTCAATCCAAAAACATGGTTGCAGTTTTCGTTTTCTCATCATGCACTATGTGCTGCAGGATTTGTTTTATATGGTGCACACTTACCATATAGATGCATTCTCTCATATCTAGGCCCAAATTTACCGCTCACATCTTATCTGAGTGAACTGAGCTCATGATGTAGTACTACAGCTTGAACCCTGGCTTCAAAGTCGTAGAACTATGGGATGTACCTTCAAGGGGTTAAATTGTTATTCTGGAAATAGATTGAAAATTCTAGTGAATGGAATCTCAACACATGATATTTAATTTATTTTGAGATATTTTATATACTGTAAGAGGAGTATCGGCACTTCCCCTTAGGTGTGCAAGCACTGTGTTCCAGCACGGGAGTATGTAAGAACGTTTGATGTGACAGAGAGAACCTCCATCTACAAACACACTACTGGACGACGTTGTTACAGGTTAGTGTTGTTTTGTTCTTTATGAACTGTCATTTTCATAATAGAAGTCTAAGACATTAAAGATTGGTTTACTCTAGGACCACGATGTAAGACTGAAGTATACATATACAGATTTCCCATGCTGTGGGGTTTTGCTTTATGCAATTTTGCTTATATGTAGTGATGCTATTTCTACCAGTAATTCACTATGTGCAATATAAGTTTGCTTTGATGCAGTCACCCATCCCCTGCCCAATTTGTATTTTAACCATGTCACAATAAATTTTACTTTAAACTGATTTATGGAGAGAAATTATTTAAAATACTGACATAGTGAAGATGTAAATGCAGTTTATTGCAGTGTTGTTTGTTGTTAACAACATTTTGCCCACACAGTGGCGCCTATGAAGTCGCAAACAGATCATCTGTTTGTGACCTGATAAAGCCTACTGTGTGGCAAAATTTTCTAAACTGCTTTATTTTGACATAAAGCATTGTAGCAGGTCTATTGGTAGGTGCTATGTGGGCCCTGCTCATCGTAATCATTCCTGCTTACATACAACTCTACTTTCAAACCGTTTTTTTTTTTATAGCAAATGAACACTTTAATAGGCCAACCAGCCCATGTTAGGCAGGCCTTACTCTCAGCCAGCCGTTCCCACTCACACACTGCTCCATTAGGAACTGGTCCTTATCTAAATAAGAGCACGGGCATTGCAATAATCTTACTGTCCCACATTAGGCAGGGTCTACTCACGGGTAACCATTACCACCAATACGCAGCTCTGTTACTACCTAACATAACAAATCACAGAACAGGTGGGGCTTGAATCCATGACAAGTGAGTCATAAAACTTGCTGGCCAGTGCATTAACCAGTGGCCCATACCAGCCTATTGAGATTCATCCATCTAGGTATATTTCTCTATGCCATATGGAAGTGTATAAAAATAGACCTGGTTGGGTGAATTTTATTAACCCCGTATGGTCTAGTGGACAGCACACTGACCTGCAAGTTATAGAACTTGCTTGCCATGGGTTGAAGCCTAACCTGTTTGTGATTTAGATTGTACATGTAGTTGTGTTGTTATGATTTTGTGAGTCAAGAACATTGTAATGTTAGAATAGATGAGCACTGCATTAGTCTTAGTGACCTATGCTTTACAGATTCCTACTATCACCCACCCACTCCCAGTTGTTCTTTTTTTATTATATTCATTTCTTATTCATATATGTTTGGTGCTTGTGTGGTAAGCTCATATATTTAATCAACATAAGCTGTATCAGTTATCCATGGGGAAGTGGAACAGAATTCTTCCTCTGTTAGCCATGCGTGTCGTAAGAGGCGACTAAAATGCCAGGAGCAAGGGGCTAGTAACCCCTTCTCCTGTATATATTACTAAATTTAAAAGGAGGACCTTTCGTTTTTCCTTTTGCGATACCCCACCTCGGTGGGATACGGCTGGTATGTTGAAAGAAAGAAATTGTATCTGTGTGCCTCTGGCAAGACAGTGATAGTGTGAATGATGGTGAAAGTGTTTCTTTTTCAGGTCACCCTACCTTGGTCAGAGATGGTCAGTGTGTTAAAAAAAAAAAAGTTAAGAAATATAGAATTTGAAAGTCATCGGCCATCTCCCACCGAGATAGGGTGACCCAAAAAAGAAGAAACACTTTCATCATCACTCACTCCATTACTGTCTTGCCAGAGGTTTGCCAGTACAACTGTTAATATTATGAATATTATTATTATCATCACTACTACTACTACTACTACAATATTTTCAGATGTGGTGAACCCTTAATAGACACTATTGTTCATTTTGGTGAGAGAGGGAAACTTCGATGGCCACTGAACTGGCAGGGAGCATGCCAGGCTGCTAATGCTTGTGATACCATCCTCTGTTTGGGCTCCAGTCTAAAGGTTTGTGTGTTTGTTAGTTCCTTCAGTGCTTCAGTCTAGGAATATTGTTGCCAAGGGTCTAGTTGGTGTAATAATTCCTGCCTAATGAACATTGCTGTAAATGATTTGGGGTCTGATGAATATTGTTGTAATGGATTTATTAGTGAACCAGCTGTATCCCACAGAGGCAGGGTGACCTTAAAAAGAAAAATGAAAGATTTTCTTTTTAAGTTTAGTAGTACGTAATTGTTCTGCTCTAATAAATATTGTGATGGTTTAGGTCTGAGGAATATTGCTGCCGTAGATCATACTGTAAGGATTTGTATGCAGTATTTAATGTTTGCTAGCTAAGTCTTAGCCTGTGGATCTGAGTACAGTATTTTCTCTTTTTTTACTTTGTAGTATAGGTAAAAATTTTTAAGGATTTATGAGAATTATATTGAAATAGAAAATTTAATGTGAAGATAATTGATGATTGGGATAAGATAGTACAAAAAAGCTGTTTGAATAACTGTTGTGATCTATCCAGAAACCTAGTAGGAGTAACTTTATTACTCATTTCTTTCCACTTTCACTTATTTCTAGTATATGCTTTGCCTGGGATGGTGTTTTTGCCTCCCATATTAAAAGAACAGTGATATTACATTTGTGCAGTATTGTATTCACTCTTCTTCCAGAACTGCTTGGCTTATGGAGTGTGATTGGAGATTTACCATAATTGCCATGCTAATATCAATTCTAAGTCATAAGCTTGAAACTAATATTAGTCCCATGTCATAGATTTTGAAGGATTGGTTTCGTAAAATATATCTGAGTGCCATGTAGTGAAAGTGATGATACATGTATATGTTTTTACAGAATATGTAACTTTTTTTAATTTTTTTTTTTTTTTTTTTAACAAGTCAGCCGTTTCCCACTGAGCAGGGTAAGCCAAAAAGAAAGAAAAACACAAAAAGAAAGAAAAAACTTTCATCATCATTCAGCACTTCCACCATCACTCACAAATCACTGTCTTTGCAGAGGCGCTTAGACATGACAGCTTATACATCTCTTTGTAAAATTCTTTTGTCAGGTCTTGAAGAAATATACGTGGTTGTGGCAGATGGACAGGCCAATGAAGAAACGACCCCAGCTATACATTGTCAACTTGCAGTGGACACCAAAAGATAAGGATGCTACGCTCAAAATTAATGGTAAAAAAAAAAAAACCTTCCTCAAAGCAAGTGATGTATATCAAAATACCTGAATATCTCTTCTGTATGATTACTCTCCAACTTGAAAAGAAGTGTATCCAGCACTCATCCTCTCATGTCTGTCACGTGTCTTCAACACATGCGCAGTACAGTGAGTTGAGGCGGAGATATTTTTTCCATATTGCTGGAGCACTTCAACATCATTCATTATACACTTTTAACTGGTTAACTAGGCAAGGCCTCTGCTTTCATGCATTGTCCTTCAGGACACTCCTAACATGATCCATGATCATCAGTTATTCTACTCTAAGGATTTTCTTTGATAGTTTAACTTTTTTTTTATTTCTTAGTTTTCCCAAAGACCCATTAATCTTTCCTCCCAAACCACTTGATAGTTCAGTTATGAGTGCCTTGTAGTTCATCTTTCTGGTCTTTTGTGTGTTTAAGCACTTCAAATTTTTCTTAACTACAGCCTCTCCTCACTAAGCAACGTACTTGTTTACTGAAGCCTTGGACTTACAATGGATTGTCTCACCAGTATTTTTTTTTTTTTTTTTTTTTTTTTCAACAAGTCGGTCGTCTCCCACCGAGGCAGGGTGACCCAAAAAAGAAAGAAAATCCCCAAAAAGAAAATACTTTCATCATCATTCAACACTTTCACCACACTCACACATTATCACTGCTTTTGCAGAGGTGCTCAGAATACAACAGTTTAGAAGCATATACGTATAAAGATACACAACATATCCCTCCAAACTGCCAATATCCCAAACCACTCCTTTAAAGTGCAGGCATTGTACTTCCCATTTCCAGGACTCAAGTCCGACTATATGAAAATAACCAGTTTCCCTGAATCCTTCACTAAATATTACCCTGCTCACACTCCAACAGATCGTCAGGTCCCAAGTATCATTCGTCTCCATTCACTCCTATCTAACACGCTCATGCACGCTTGCTGGAAGTCCAAGCCCCTCGCCCACAAAACCTCCTTTACCCCCTCTTTCCAACCCTTTCGAGGACGACCCCTACCCTTCTTTCCTTCCCCTATAGATTTATATGCTTTCCATGTCATTCTACTTTGATCCATTCTCTCTAAATGACCAAACCACCTCAACAACCCCTCTTGTGCCCTCTGACTAATGCTTTTATTAACTCCACACCTTCTCCTAATTTCCACACTCCGAATTTTCTGCATAATATTTACACCACACATTTGCCCTTAGACAAGACATCTCCACTGCCTCCAACCATCTCCTCGCTGCTGCATTTACCACCCAAGCTTCACATCCATATAAGAGTGTTGGTACTACTATACTTTCATACATTCCCTTCTTTGCCTCCATAGATAACGTTTTTTGACTCCACATATACCTCAACGCACCACTCACCTTTTTTCCCTCATCAATTCTATGATTAACCAGTATTTATATCTAAATAATGCATATTAGAGCTGATTTCCTCTATTCTGTTTATTTCAGTATACAGTACACTACTGTATAAACATTTAAAAATATACCAGCAACGTTATACATGGTGCAAAGGTGACATTAAAACAATATCCATTAAAACTATATCAGAGATGGTTAACACTAAGCCACTACCATTATAGCAAGCTCTCACTTAGCGAAGCATTTGTTTAATGATGTGGTCTTAGGAACGGAACTGTCGTTAAGTGAGGAGAGGCTGTGTTATGAAAACATTTATGTTGAACGTCACTTGATAGTGAATATTTTTTTATTTATACCTCCTTTCCTTTTCCTATATACAGCATCTCATTTTCTGATTTTAACAAATACACTATATCTGCATTTCTTTGTCCTTTCCCATAACATGAAATTGGAGCCATCTGTGGGCCAGCATTTTCATTTGATCAACTGACTTTATCTCGTTGACATCATTATGCTGTACAAATGTGTTCCATACTCGAGTCATCCTGGGTATATATGATCTCAGATGGAGTGAAGTTCTGGAGAAGGGTACAGCCAGAGTGAAGTTGCTGCTTTCTGCCCGTCTTGTGGCATAAAAGCTTGTTTCACACTGTCCTCGAAGTGGATCCAAGTGTGGTACTTTGACAATATTGGCCTTGTACATAACAGTAAGGCCACCCACATCCCTCCTATGTTGAAGGCTCTGCTGAAATTACAGATCTATCCAGGATGGGTCCAGGCGAGAGATGAGACGTCTTGCTCTGTTCTCTACTCTGTCAAGCAGTCACAGATGAGAGGGGGGGGGGGCAGGCAAACCAAGAAAGTGGAGCATACTCAAGGTGTGAGCGTACTTGTGCCTCGTACAGAATCTTGCAACCCCTACTGTCAAGTAGATGCGAGATACGGCGAAGTGCTGTAAGCTTCCAGGCTGCCTTGTTTGCAAGATTTACAACATGGTTCTTCATGGTTAGTTTGGAGTCAAATTTCACCCCAAGGATATCAACTTCTTCTCCAGGTGCCAACACCCTCCCATTCATCCTTACTACTGCACCAGCATTACCAGGTGCAAATGTTACTTGCCATCTATTTCCCCAAGCTGATATAGCTCTCAGCTTAGAGCAGCTGGCATTTCTTCTCTTGGATAAGTGAATGTCAGTGTACAGTCGTCTGCATATGCGTGTGATTCTGGGATGAGATGAAGAAGGTCGTTGAAGTAGACATTCCATAACAATGGACCCAGCACGCTTCCTTGTGGAACACTTGCCCCAATAGGATGTCTTGCTGATTCCGTTCCATTGAGAACTACACTTAGAGATCTACCATGAAGGTAATCACTGAGGAAACAGCGTAGAGCCTGCAATTCCCAGTGCTTGAAGTTTTGCTAAGAGGCCCTGGTGCCACACCCGGTCGAAAGCGCCAGCAATGTCCAGTGCTACCACACAGCTGACTTTGGATTCATCCAGTGACTGGTGCCACTTAGTGGAGAGGTTTAACAACAGATCAGCAGCAGAGTAACCTTTCCTAAAGCCATATTGACGATCACAAAGTAGTGAGTGATAGTCAAAAAAACTGTCATTTGTCTTGAGATTATTGTCTCTGTCTCTGTCTGTCTGTCTCTCTCTGTCTCTCTCTCTCTCTCTGTCTCTCTCTCTCTCTCTGTCTCTCTCTCTCTCTGTCTGTCTGTCTGTCTCTCTCTCTGTCTCTCTCTGTCTCTGTCTGTCTCTGTCTCTGTCTGTCTCTGTCTCTCTCTGCCTGTCTCTGTCTCTCTCTGTCTCTGTCTCTCTGTCTCTGTCTCTCTCTGTCTCTCTCTGTCTCTGTCTCTCTCTGTCTCTGTCTCTCTCTCTGTCTCTCTCTCTGTCTCTCTCTCTGTCTCTCTCTCTGTCTCTCTCTCTCTCTCTCTCTCTCTCTCTCTCTCTCTCTCTCTCTCTCTCTCTCTCCTCTCTCTCTCTTTTTACAGGGTTTGACAGGGTTAAGGATCCCTAGCTTTATTGACAAGTTATTTACAGGTTAATGGTTCCTAACTTTATTGACAAGCTAAGAGCTGTTACCTACATCAGCTCTTTCTTGTTTATTCATTTTATCTAGTTTGCTTACCTCTCACTCTACATTAAGACTACAAATATTTTAAGGCAAGTAATGAGTGAACTGTATATGCATTTTATCGCTCAGGGATGCTTTAAATGTCGTAGCCTATTAAGTGGTGGGGTGGCCTGGCTTGCTACCATACCTACCACACCTGATTTCTTACAATATATACAGGAAGGCCCCACTTTACGGCGTTTCACTTTACGGCGTTCCGCTAATACGGACATTTCAAATTATGACCAAACTCACTATACGGCTCCCCCCACCTGACTTTCTAATACGGTCACCGTGCCCCACCCTGTTTGTTTACATTCTCCATGAGCTCAGTAAGCACTAAGTCTCTCCATTTTGTCTGGAAACTCCAAAATTTCAAATGTTTTTAAAAGTTATTTCATATTTTATATATACTCTGATAATTATACTTATGTATACCTGTACCTAAATAAACTTACATACATCGAGTCATTTAAATGTCGTATATTACATTAATATACACATTTTCATTAATCCATCCATGATATTTTTTTAAAAATTAAATAAAAAACCCACATGCATAACAATAAAAAAAAAAATACACCCCACAGGGGAATTTAAATAAACTAAATGTGAGATGTGAGCAGACGCTTCCAAATGACCCATAATAAAAATAGTCACCGTTCTTTAAAAATGTCGTATTTTTACGGTAATAAACACATTTTAAAAAAAAAAATCCTTTCCCCATATTTTTTTTTTCAAAATTATATAATAAAAAACATGCATAACATATAAATAAGATAAATACACCCCACAGTAAATTTAAAATAAACAAAAGTGAGATGTGAGCAGACACTTCCAAAAAGTGACCCATAATAACAATAGTCACCGAGTCCCCCTTTAAAATTGTCGTATTTTACGGAAATTTACACATTTTCTTTAAATTTTCCTTTCCATAAATTTTTTTTTCAAAATTATATAAAAAAAACGATCCCAAACATAAAAATAAATATAAAACCCCCCCATTGAAAAAAATAAACATAAATGTGGAGGGTTAGATAAAAAAAAAAGCGACTATTGGCAAAAAGGTGGGCTGTGCAAAAAATAGTGGGGGGTTTTTTGAAGGGGGTTGGGAAATATTTTTAAAAAAATGCAGTATTAGAATGGGGGGCAAAAAGTTTTTGGTTATAGGGGGTGGGGGGGAGGAAAAAAGGGTGTTTTTGGGGGAATAAATAAATTTTAAAGGGGTGAAAAAAGGGGAAAAAATTAGCTTATAGAGGTTTTTAAAAAAAGCAAAGTTTTTATAAAAAGACAAGTAAATGGAGAGTAAAAAAAGGGTTAAAGAGAGTGGGAGAGAGTCAAAAGGAGAGCAGATGAAAAGAGTGGGAGAGGAAACTGTCAAGAAATTTTAATGAAAATAAGAAAAAATTTTGGAGTGAGTTAAACAAGTTAAGAAAGCCAAGGGAAAATATGGATTTGTCATTTAAAAACAGAGTAGGGGAGTTATAATGGGGA